CCCACACATGAGTGAGGTCGTGTGGTTCTCAGCTTGTTCTGACCGACGGGTTTCGCTCGGCATCATGTTCTAAGGCCCGTCCATGTGGTTGTGAACGGCGCTGATGCGCCCTTTCTCGTGCTGAGGATATCCACTGTGTGCACGGACCACAGCTTAAACTTTTTTTTCAGTCCTCACCTGAGGATATTTTCCCATTGATTTGTAGAGAGAGTGGAAGAGAGAGGGAAAGACAGAAATATCAATGTGAAAGAAACACATTGACTGGTTGCCTCCTGCACGAGCCATGACCAGGGCCCAGGCCTTTATTAAGTTGAGGTACTTTCCTTCTATTACGATTTTATTGAGTGTTTTAATCATAAATGACTATTGTAGCTTATCAAATGCTTTTCCTGCATCTATTGATAAGATCTTACGATTTTATCCTGTCTTTGGTTAATGTGGTATATTACATTAATTGATTTGTATATGTTGAACCATCCTTGTGTCCCTGAAATGAACCCCACTTGATCATGATGTATTACTTTTTGGATGTACTGTTGTATTAGATTTGCTAGTGTTTAGTTTAGGATTTTTGCATCTGTGTTCATCAGAGACATTGATCTGTAGTTTTCTTTTTTTGTCATCTTTGCCAGGTTTTGGTATTAGGGTTATATTGGCCTCATAGAATGTGTTAGGAAGTATTACCTCTTCTTCAATTTTTTGATGAGTTTGAGAAGGATAAGTTTTATTAGTAAACCTTCTTTGAACATTTGGTAGAATTCACTGATGTAGCCATCTGGTCCTGGACTTTTTTGGGGGGGATGTTTTTGATGGTTGTTTCAATTTCCTCACTGTCAGTGGTTAGGTTTTTTTTGCTATGGGTTATTTTGTATAAGATATATATATATATACGCACACACACACACACACACATACTTTAAAAAATATATATTTTTATTGATTTCAGAGAGGAAGGGAAAGGAAGAGAGATAGAAACATCAATGATGGGAGAGAATCATTGATCGGCTGCCTCCTGCATGCCCCACACTGGGGATCAAGCCTGCAACCCAGGCATGCCCTGACCGGGAATCAAACTATGACCTCCTGGTTCATAGGTCGACGCTCAACCACTGAGCCAAGCTGTCCAGGCTCTTATATATTTTCTATATTAACCCCTTATCTGATAGTGTGTAAATATATTCTCCCATTCTGTGGGTTGCCTTTTTATTTTCCTGATTGTTTCTTCTGTTATGAAGAAATTTTTTAGTTTGATGTAGTACCTACCACTTGCTTATTTTTGGTTTTGTTGCCTTTGCTTTTGGCGTCATATCTAAAAAATCTTTTTCAAGATCAATGTTAAGGAGCTCCCCCCTATTTTTCTTTTAGTAGTTTTATGGTTTGGGGTATTACATGTAAGTGTTTAGTCCATTTTGAGTTAGTTTTTGTGAGTGGTGTGATTTAGAAGTTGGTTTCATTCTTCTGCATGTGGCTATCCAGTTTTCTCAGCACAGTTTATAGCAGACTGTCCTTCCTCCCATTGAGTCCTCTTGGCTCCCTTGTCAAATATTAGTTGACTTCTCGGCTCTTGATTCCGTTCCTTTGTTTTGTATTTATTTTTATGCCAGTACCAGACTGCTTTGATGACTATAACTTTGCAATATAGTTTTACATCAGGCAGTGTGATACTGTCAGCTTTCTTCTTTCTCAGCATTGTTTTGCCTATTGAAAGCCTTTTATAGTTCTGTATGAATTTTAGGATTGCTTTTTCTGTTACTGTGAAATATGTAGATGGCTTTGGGTAGTATGAACATTTTAACAATATTAATTTTTCTAGTCCATGAACATAGGACATCTTTCCATTTATGTGTCTTCAGTTTCTCTCCATCAATGTTTTATAATTTTCAGGGTACAGATCTTTTACTTCCTTAGTTACATTTATTTCTAAGTATTTTTAATATTTTAATTTTAGTGATCAGGTCTTTGCTGCCAATCCAGCGATGCCTTGGGGGGCTGATTAAATGTGCAAGTCCCTGCCCCTGCACAAGGCCCTCGTCTGGTGCACGAGCAGGCCCCATGTCCGCTTCCGTGGCTTTGCTCTTTGTCTTATCTTACCTTCAGTCATCTCACTTCTGCTCCTGTGGGCCTTCCTCACTTCCCAGCTGTACACTCAGAGCTGTTCATAGTTACCCCAAGTAGGAGTTAGCAGAGGTCCTGAGGGGCTCTCTGCTTGGGCCTCAGTGTATGAACTGGAAACATCTGTTTCTGATTGCTTAGAGCAGTAGTTGTCAACCTGCTGGCCCTTTAAATACAGTTCCTCATGTTGTGACCCAACCATAATATTATTTTTGTTGCTACTTCATAACTGTAATGTTGCTACTGTTACGAATAGTCATGTAAATATCTGATATGCAGGATGGTCTTAGGCGACCCCTGTGAAAGGGTTGTTCAGCCACCAAAGGTTGAGAACCCACAGGTTGAGAACCGCTGGCTTAGAGGCACCTTCTGCTTACTCTTGGGCTTTGGCTGCATTCTAGAAAACTGCTGCTGGGTATTTCATGCCCTACAACCCACAGAGACAGTTTTCCGGGGGCCTTTTGGCAGAGGGCCTTGAAGTGGGTTGCTGGGCCTCCTTGGGTTGAGTGGTGTGGTCCTTGCCAGCCAGGGAAGACCTCCCGCATCTCCTGTTCTGCTAGGCTTTGGGCTGCTCTGTCGCACATGCCACCTCTGCCCAGGGCATTGCCAAGCCTATGTATCTGAGCCCCGGAGTACCTGACTCTAAAGTCTGCGCCAGGGAAACGAGGTGTGTCCTGGCTGCTGCCCTGCCCCTCAGCCTCCCTGCTCCTCTCTTCCCATGACCCTTCCACCTCACTGCTCTTCCCCGGCCTGCTCCTCATCACATACACCATCCTTCCTGCCGCCCACCTCAGCCAGCAGCCCACTGCCTGTGTAGTAAAATTAGGAGGAGGCTTTTTGAAGCTCCTAGAAGGAAGGGCGACTGTAAGTTCCTTGAAGGCAGGAGACCCCTAGGGTTCATCTTGCAGCCTTCACAGGTCCCTGTGAGAGAGAATGCTGGCACCTCGTCGTCCCCTGGAGTCCAGCGTGAGCAGAGGCTAAGAAAGAGAGCGCCCTCTTGACTGAAGAAAACCTTAGCAGCCAGGGACGCTGAGCTTCGGGGTCTCCCTCAGCTGCCCGAGCGGAGCCTGGTGCCTCCCGTGGGGCTCAGTGCACCTGCCAGCTCTGGCCTCCTCTGGGAATGACTAGCATCGCCACGCCACAGCTCTCATCTCTGCAGCGGTGGTCACCCTGACAGGGCTATTTCAGGGACCGCCTGAGGGAGCGGGAAAGCTGGCACACACTGCCTGTGGTCTCCGGGGTGCAGCGATGGGGGCTTCAGAGAAGGCCGGTTGGAGTTCCCATCCTGGGTCTGGCACTGACCAGCGACTTTCCCTAGACCTGTCTCTTCACCTTTCTCAGCCTCCTAGGGGTAAGAAAGTGTGATAACAACATCCACGTAAAGAGAATTAGCTGTAAGAATAGAGTGAAATTCTGTATAATGTGAAAGAATCCTTCGCAGTACCTGGCGTCTGCCTGCATTCAGGTCACGTTAGCCTGTGGACCTTTCTTCATGGCTATGCTTTGCCGAGGTGCTGCCCCAGTGTGTGAACCGGGCTCTGGAATGACTGCATGAGGTACCCAGTGGTCAGGTTAGTTTGGGCAAATGAGGCAGTCAGAAATGCCCCCTGTTGCTGGTGACGTCCTTGCAAGGAGGCATTCCCCACCAGTCGCCCGTGGCTTTGGGGGACGCTGGCGTGGGAAGGGTCAGGGTTGGTTTCCAGAGAGCTAAGGAATTCAGAAAGCTGTGCTCCAGGCGGGACGGGGCCTGCAGTTGGCACCTCTGGGCCCCAGGGCCTCTCCCTGGTCCTGCGGGGGCTGAACTGTCCCGTCACTTGATATGTAGTGCAGCCTTTGGAACGGCATCCAAGCGCCAAAGTTCTCATTGACTGGCTCCTCCCCTGTGCAGGGCACTGTGCGAGGTGCTTCCCTGGCAGCCTTACTACAGTTCTGGAAGGGAGTGCTCATGTGCCCACTTTACAGATGGGGAAGCAGAGGCTCAGACAGCCTTGTCCGGAGCCATTCAGAGAGAAAGTGGTGGAGCTGAGATTCAAGCCCACACTGGCCTCTAGCCAGAACCCACACGCACCTGTGCTTTTCTGATTGGCTTGGGCCTGTGTAACTGATTGTCCCAGTTAGGGGAGGAGTGGGCAGGGTTTGAAGGGTACATGGACCTTAAAGCCTAATGCAGCGGTTCTCAACCTGTGGGTCGCGACCCCTTTGGCGGTCGAACGACCTTTCACACGGGTCGCCTAAGACCATCCTGCATATCAGATATTTACATGACGATTCATAACAGTAGCAACATGACAGTTATGAAGTAGCAACGAAAATAATTTTATGGTTGGGGGTCACAACATGAGGAACTGTATTTAAAGGGCCAGAAGGTTGAGAACCACTGCCCTAATAGCAGCTGAGGCTCACAAACCAGTTACTAAAGGTGGAAAGTCATTTTCAGTTTTAGTTGCAGAAGCAGGGTTGTGTGTGTGTGTGTTTGCTTCCTCACATAACCGGGGCAACAACTCCCTGGGCAATTCTTACTGCGCAGCAGCCTTCCCTGTGACAGAGCATGTGTCCCGGTGGCTAACGCCGCACACCCAGAGGCCCAGAGGGAGGCAAAGTGCTGATTCTCAGAGACCGCTCAGTCATTTCATTCTTGCTTTCCCTTCTCCTGTGAAAGTGATGCCTAAACTAATGACCTGGTTTTTGTGCAGGGCAGTCAGCAGGGGGCAGCCTCACCGCTGCGTACGACTGGGTTCCAGGGTGAGGATGGCTGCCGCTGAGGCGTGGTTCTAAAGGAGATGGTCGGGAAGATGTTCGGGAAGAAGGATGGGGGTGGAAGTGGAGCCGTCCTCCTCTTCCCTGCGGCTCCGCAGGTCGTGTACTCACTGCTCCTCCCTCCACGTCAGGTGCTGGAGACCTGTGTGAAGAACTGCGGCCACCGCTTCCACGTCCTCGTGGCCAGCCGAGATTTCATCGACGGCGTTCTGGTCAGAATCATCTCTCCCAAGAACAACCCGCCCACTATCGTGCAGGACAAGGTGCTGGCCTTGATCCAGGTAGGTCCGCTCCTCCTGGCTGTTGGTGGGCCCCTCAGGGGTCCTCATGCTTGGCCATCATTTGGAAGAAAGAATGGAGGTTTCTGGGTTTTGATGTTCGTTGCATAATGCTTCCTTTCCACACTCATCCCACTGGAATGAAACCTTAAGCGGCGGCTCTCCAGCGAGTTGACAGAGGCTTCACTGATCGGTGCCTCGCCCTCTCCTGCCCACAGGGGCAGGTGGCCTTGGCAGGACTCTGAGCCCCCAGGCAGAGTGCGGAGTAGGCAGGGCCTGTCAGAGGAGCGTGCAGGCTGCTGAGCTCCAGGGGGCCAGCTCTGGGGCTGCCAGGAGGAGTGACTCACTCAGGAGAGGAGGTCTCCGTTGGCCCCTGCAGGACGGTGAGGAGCTTGGTGGAAAGGTCAGAGTGCGAGACGCATCGCAGGCAAAGACAATAGCAGACACAAAGGCCCAGATGCGTCGGCGAGGGCAGGCGGTGCTTTGGGTGCATTCATTGTTGATTGCCTTGTAACGAACCATCCAGAGTGTAGCAGCTTAAAGCAGTGGGTGGTTATGTCTCCTGTTTCTGTGGGTCAGGAACGCAGGGAACCTCGCTGGCCCCTCTGGCTTGGGGGCCCTCGGAGGCTGCAGCGAAGGTGCTGCCAGGCTGCCTGGTCCAGCCCAGTGGGAGCTGCAGGAGCCCCGCCACGGCGCTCCCACAGGGCGGGCAGCAGCTCAGGCCCTTGCTGACCACTGGGAGGAGGCCTCAGTTTCCCTGGTGTGGACCTCCTGAGTGTCCTCGGGACATGGCAGCTGGTTTTCCCCAGAGCAGATGATCCAGAGAGAGTGGGGACTGTAGTGCCTGCTGGGGCTGTCTCAGAAGTCACGCTCCATCCCTCTTGTCATCTGTTTGTTGGAAGGGAGCCAGCAGGTCCAGCCTCTGAAGTCGGGAAGCTAGCTGCTCCTCTTAAAGAGAAGAGTGGTTCCAGCCGCCCCACGTAGAGTGTAAGGGAGAATGTGTGGGCCAGGAGATAAGCCCAGAGGGATGGTCAGGGCTTATGGGCCACATAATGCTGAGGAGTGTGTGCCTTATCCTATAGGCAGTGGGGAGCCCTTGAATGTTTCTGAGCTGGCGGTACAGAGTCAGATCTGGTTTTAGACAGAGCACCCTGGTGACAGGGTGAAAGGTATGTACGTGCGTCAAAAAGCACATCAGTGCAGGGTGATTGGTGCTGTAGTAGAGGAAAGATAAGAACCTGCAAGAGCCATGAGGAGAGGGAAGAGCCAGCCTGGGGAGGAGGGCTAAGAAGTACGGGGGCAGAGTGCTTAGGGGCGGGCTTTGGAGGCAGTGGTGGCAGCTGAGAGGAGAGGGGCCTGAGCCAAGGAATCTGCTGACTGTCCTACCTGCAGCTGTGCCTGAGCCTCCTCCCAGCCCTTGGAGCAGGTGACTTCCCATCACTCCGTCCTCAGAGCCTCCCGCTGTCTGGTGTGCAGGACACATCACCCTCTCTCCCATCATCCTCTTATGCTCTTCAAGTTCCTCTGCCAGCTTTCCCACCACCTCTCCCTCTGAGCTCCCCGAGAGCCAGGCCAGTTCATCCCCAGGGTCTCTAGCACTTGACGGTGTTGAGCAGGTATTCAACACATTGTTGTCTGTCTTCCTTCCTTCCTTCCTTCCTTCCTTCCTTCCTTCCTTCCTTCCTTCCTTCTTCCTTCCCTCCCTCCCCTCCCTCCCTTCCTTCCTTGTTTCTTGGTTAATCCTCACCTGAGAATATTTTTTCCATTGATTTTTAGAGAGAGTGGAAGGGAGGGAGGGGGGGGGAGAGAGAGAAACATCAATGTAAGAGAGACACATAGATTGATTGCTTCCCACATGCACCCCGACTGGGGCCAGGGATTGAATTCACAACCCAGGTACGTGCCCTTGACAGGGAATCAAACCCCCAACCCTTTGGTGCGTGGGCTGACACTCTAACCACTGAACACCACCCGCCAAGGACATTGTTTTCTTAATAAATGGATGAATGTAGTTTGCTGAAGCTCTAAGGAAGGGAGGAGTATGGGTGACAGCAGAGCCCCATCACATGTGTCCTTAGATTGTCCCTATCCCTTCATCTGCCACCAGACATATCTCCCTCTCCCTCTTCCTCTCCCTTGTACGCACGCACACACACACACACACACACACACACACACACACACAGATGCAAATCATTTCACCCTTTAACCTCCTCACCCCCACCTATGCCCCCAAAACCCTCATTCTGGGATGCCCCAGCACACTCCCTTGCCTCAACACCCCCAGTATTTGATACCAGGAAAATGAATTGGGGCTTTCTCTTACAAAAGATGGGACATCCCAGCCTAAGCTGTGCAAGCCCCCAGTGGCCACAGGTGAGGTCTCTCTGAAGTCAGACCTGGAGCCCTTCCTGTGGCCAGGCCCAGTGGTTGTCAGCTGCCCCTGGCAAGCACAGCATGGCGAGGTCATGATCCCCACTTCCTCTGCTGACTGTGGGGGCCCTGATGGTTAGGTCCCCGAAGGAGGAACGCACGAGGTCAGAGTGATGAGGGATTACGAATAACCATCCGCACACCAGCTGGCTGAGCCTGGATGGCTCCAGCACCCAGTGAGGGGAGTCGGCGGCTTTTAAAGGACTTTTGGCGGGATTTTTCTGGGCGGAGGCTTCTGTATGCAGACCCAGAGGGGAGAGAATGGAATGTGGTCACCGCAAGTGAAAAGTGGTCTTCGGCAATGGGAATGTCCACAGGGAAATAACAGAAAAGCCAGTTCCCAGGGGATGGGTATCAACTCAATGTCTCCATCAAACCTAACACTGATGAGAGCAAAGCTGCACTGTCTGTGGCCCCTGGCTCTCCCTGGGGACACCAGCCTGGCACCCCCACCCCCGCACCCCCACCCCTGCACTCCCACCCCTGCACTGCAAGACTTTCTGTCAGACTCACCACCTCTCCCAGCACTGCTTCTTCCCACTGGCAAACCTCTACCTCCTTGTGTGTGAAATGGGGGCTGCGTTCCTGCCTGTGTACTCCCAGCCCTGCTCTGTGAGATGGTCCGGAGCAGCCCTGTGACCCACACCCATGCTCCGAGGACGCCCCCTGCTGGCCTGGGAGCAGGGCGCAGGATGGGACCTCGAGGGTCCAGCTGAGAAAACGCAAGGGACTTTAGGTCAGGATGCGTCCAAGTGGGCTTGGTAACCTGGCGGGGCAGAGTCCTTCCTGCACAGGTTCTGAAGCTCCCTGAGAACTCCCATCGTCGCTCCTGCTGGCTAACCGTAGAAGCGCAGGCAGCGTTCAGAGCGGTGGGTGCTTGGGTCTGTCATGGGGTAGACAAAAGAATAAAAAGCTCAGCTTTTCTTTTACTTTTTATTGATTTAAATATACTGGAAATCACATATTTAAAAAGCATGTAGAACTTGATAATTTTTACAAACTGAACATATCCATGTAACCAACCATGGGAAGTCAGGTGGGGGCCATCCCAGGGTGCGGGGGCTTTGTGGGTGTGCGTCATATTCCGCTTCACAGCATCGGGCATAGATGGGCTCCTCCATGGAACTTCACCCGCAGTCTCTGTGCCAGCGCTGTTGTGTCCGTGTGTCTGGCGTGCTGCATGTGAGGGCCTCACCGCGCCACGGAGTGACCGTGGCCTCCTTTCCCGCTGCGCACCTCGCTGCGCTGGCCTGCGGGTGGGCCGGGGTTCATCATCCCTCCCCCTGTGATGGGCACTTGCTGTTCAGGGGCTGTTAGAAAAGATGCTGCTGGGAGCATCTAGCACGTGTCCTTTGGTGATATACGTATCATTTTGTTGGGTATCTATTGGTTGAATAGGTGAAACTGCCATCTTTGTTGGTCCGAATGGTAGAATATTAGCAATTTCAGAGTTCAGCCTCACAGCTAGCCGTGCAATTGCTGGTGGCAGGGAGCACCCACGCACCGGGTCGTGGTGCCATGACCTCTTCACGCCCTCACCAGTGGGCAACATCTCCTTCATCACAGCTCATCTGATGAGTATGCAGAGGCTGCATCCTGTGAACCATTTTTTAACCCTTTGAAAAGAAGGTGGTTTTATGTGCATATTAAATGTAAATAAAGCCTCCCAGAGAGTCTGGTAATTCCCCCTGGGAGAGCAAGTGCTGCTCCCACTGAGAGACAGGAGGGGCTGGGGGTGTCAGACCGCTGGCTCTCTGGCCAGCTGGGGAGTGCAGCAGGCCCTTGTGTCAGTGCAGCTGGATTGATGTGGGTGCAGAGCTGTGGCCGGCTCCCTCCCCAGGACATTGCTTTCTGCTCTCAGCGCCCAGCTGCTGGAAAGTGGGCGGGGCCAGTCCCCTTGTGAATGCTCAGTGGGCCCCACCCCCCTGCGGGTAGTGGGCTTTGCCTTTCAGGAGGGAGCCCGTCTCCTGGTCGCCGGGGAGGAAAGATGCTGAGAGCAGAGCAGCCTCCGGAGCAGCTTGCCAGCTCCGTCACTCCTGCCTTTGAGCTTCCTGCCACTCCAGCTTTTCCCTCCTCATGGCCCCTGGCTGGCCTTTTTTGGCTGCGTGTCCTTCCGTTTGATGCCGTCCCTCGGCCTTCCCTGGGTGCTGTTTGCAGAGACAGCAGTGAGATCATCCTGCCAGTGGAGCGTCGCTGAGGGGATGCCTCTGCTGCTTTTCCGCCCTGCCCGCTGCCGCAGCAAGGGTTTGAGAGCACAGTGGGACCTCGGCTCTAACTTAATATGTTTCAGAAGGCTGTTCGAGAAGCAATTTGTTTGAAAACTGAATCAGTTTTGCCATTAGAAATAATGTAAACTGAATTAATCCAGCCCAGTCTTCCATATGTTCCCTGTTTCAACCTTTCTTATAGACAGTACGTGCTTATATACAGTACTGTTTAATCTATAAACACTTTATAAACAAAAAGGACATTAAAATTTAACAAAAAGGAAATGAAATTTACAGTAAAAAATGAAAATTCACATACACACTAGAACTACCTTTAATGTTGTGAACTCTTGATGACTGAAT